ACGACGTCCTTGAGGGTCAACGTCGCGCGGGGAAGAGTACCCGGTGCATCTCGTTAAGGGCGAGTCTCGCGTTTGCCCTCCTCTCTCTCTCTCCCAGCCCATCGTCGAGACGTACTTGCACGCGTGGAACAATTTATTGCGTCTTTCTTGCGCGTTAAAGCGTACTATGAACCGCATACCTTATGCTCGGTTCCCAGCTGGGTCGAATCATAAATCGTGCGACTATCTCCTTTCCTCTCGCGTTCTTCGCTCGCGTCCGCTTCGTTCTCGTCCTCCCGTCCTCCACGGTCCACCACGGTCACCCTTATTTCTTACGCGAGTCGAGAGAGAGAGAGAGAGAGAGAGAGAGAGAGAGAGACAGCGAGAGAGAGAGAGAGAGAGGGAGAGAGATTCTCCCCGTTGTGCATCTTCCAGAGAACGGTCACGAGCAACACCGTCCGGGCTTGCGTCAGGATGTGCGCGCGAGTCCTCAGGACTCGTCCGACAGAGTCCGCGCACTAGTTACGCGAGTGTTTAAGCCTTCGCCGCGCGTACACGCGCGCTTTTACCGCTCGCTTTTACCCTACGCCTGTTTACGATGCGCTCCATTCGTGACGCGCGCGTACGGACCGCGCGCGCATGCAACCGAACACTTGCAGCGTATCGCTGGCGCAGCTAGTGCCTTCGAAACAAGGACGATGTTTTCGCGTCAAAGGCAGGTCGTTGTTGAAGGGGCGTCTCCGCCCTCGGTTGACACGCGCGAGACTGGCAAACTTTTTTCCGCGGATTTTCGAGGATTTGCAAATCCAATTTTTTCGCACTTGCCTCTTGGGCGCTTTGAATTTCTGCTCTCTCTCGTCGTATCTTACGAACAAATTCGCGACATTTCGCCGTCAAAACGCGACGGAAAGGTCGTGCGGACAAATGTTGCAATTTTTGGAAAGTCTTTCCAGCGGGCTGGTACGTTCCGCTCGAATGTTGAACAAATTTTTAAAAAGAGATAGCCTAGAGATATTATGTAAATAGATGTTAAATTTTTTATTGAAAGGACGACAGGTATTGAGAAAGGTATCTTGCTATTCCTCGAATAATATCAAACTCAACATCAAATATGCAACAACGCACCGTCGATATCGTCGATGTTAGAAGAACAGCGACGTCGGCGGCGCGCAAACGCCGGTCGAAAATTTCGACAAAAAAAAAAAAGAACAGAAGAGATAAAGCGTTGCTTTCTCGCGCGTCCTTATATTTCACGCCGAGGTCCTGCGGATTATCCTCCTCCGCGCGCATCCACCCTCTTATTCCGCAGAGAATGAAATATTACTCTCTCGGGGAAAATTTGATATACCGAGACACGCGCGCAACCCCATTACATCACGTTTACGACGACGACCGCGACGCGAAACTTGATAATTACATTACGTCACGGTTCTCTTTTATGACAACTAACGTTACTAAGAGGCACGTGATTACCGCTTATTCCGCCGACGACATTTCACGTGTACTAGGTGGTGGTCGGGTCGACTTCGTCAACACTGCCTCGTCTTTTACGGCGCGCGCAAACGCGCGCAACTCGTTGTGCAACGCGCCGCACTACGTGGCCGTTGCACCTCCTCCTCAAAAACAGCCGTGGGAATAATTAACCGATTAATTATCCCGAGTAGACGACCGATTCTCAGGGTAAACTGTGATTAGCGCGTAGCCGTTAAATCGTAATCGTCGATCGTTATTTCCTCGCTGCGGAAAGGCTTTGTAGATTTAAATTCTCGTTACGCGCTTGCATCGGACGCGAGTACTCGCGATACTCGGCGATGATTAGTTTTAGAGATAATTGCATAATTATAGATACATAGGTAGAATAGATCTTTTACTTCTTCTTAAAGGGCTGCTCTTCTCGTTAATAAGTCAACAAACCTATCATCTTTCGCCCATCTCTTTATTATGCGTGCGCTATCCACGTTTTAGAAACTGAAAGCTATTATTAAAGAATCCACCACGTTCCTTAGCTTAATTTTACCGAAAGATAATCTATCTTCTGACGTTACTGAAAAAAAAGAAAAAACATGATAAAGTTCAAAGGAATTTGTAGGAGAAAAAAAACAACATAATATATATTTTTTCTGCTTATATGCAAGAGTATATGCTGAGCACAGTGGCGAGCAGTTGGCGTTTTTGCGCAGTAATCGATCCCTCGGCAGCGCGCGAAGCATCGCGCTGTCATATCTATCCTATCGACATTATCTCCATTAACTGCCGTTCGTTATTTCGCCGGGATTCAGGAAGTTAAAATTCGCATGGAAATAACCGGTCATCCATTGACAACGCGGCGACACGTAAACAGCATCGGGGCGTTGTGTAACGGCAATTTGGCCGTATTTGTTGCCCGATCGAAATAAAGAGCCGAACGAAACGAGCAACCTCGATTATACCCCGGGCTTGTAATTACCGAAAGAGCCGCAGATTCGTCGCGCGGACTATCGTGTAGCAACGAGCGTAATTATTGGCTTACTGTCAGGGCATATCTTGTCGGCGAGTTTTATCGCGATTAAAACGAGGTAGTTCGCGGCGGCGAAACAATCGATACCGCGAGCGAACCGCGCCGATTTCGTCGCGCCGATTCACCGGGAATTGAATTTCGACCGCGGGCGCCCGCGGTCTTTATGCCCTTTTTTTCCCCGTTTGCTTCTTGCCAGCGCGGCGATGTACAATAAATCGCCGCTGATGAGTATGTGCCGGAGTATGGTCGTACGGTGCAATTAATTTCTTACATGCTCTCTCTCTCTCTCTCTCTCTCTCTCTCTCTCTCTCTCTCTCTCTCTCTCTCTCTCTCTCTCTCTCTCTCTCTCTCTCTCTCTCTCGTCGGTTGCACGAAGACCGGACCTCGTGTTACCGCGATCTTGCGTGATATATTCGAGAGTTCTCTCAATCCCATTTCAAGGTGTTCGCGTTGTGTAGTCACCGAAAGCAGATTAAACTTCAAACAACTTACTATTACAAGGCACAAGCAATACGATAGACACATCATGCATACACAGAATACATACTCGTACTTGCATACAACTCCGGTATGCGTGGTAAGGAGAAAAGGTATAACCGCGGTAAAAGTTACTCTCTCACAAGCTCACCGCTTGAGTTGCTGCGCTAAATCGACTGAAAGTCGCGAAACTCTCGAGTCGGCGAAAAGTGAACACTCACTTCGTACGAAAAAATACACGCTCGATGAAGAATTGACGTAATTTCGCGCGGGGTGCGAAGTATTGGTGGGCAGAGAACTCACCATTTTCAGCATCTCCAAGTCCCCTTTCTTCAGCATGGCTATCAATCTCTGGTGATCCGTCAGCTCCTTCGCCGAGCGCACTCTCTTATCCTTCCGCATGCCGTCGGTTTCGTAATCCTCGCACAACACATTGTGAAGATTCACTTGCTGCGCCGCGTGATCCATTCGCGGCTGCTCGGGCTGCTCCGCCGCCGGCAGGTCTTGTTCAAACTGCAGGTTCTTCACGAGAACCTCGCTAACTACCGCACCGCGGTCCACGTCCTTGGCGGGTTCTTCGGTCGCGTGATCTTGAGGCTTCTCGGCGACTTGAAATCTGCTCGGAGCAGAATCCTCCGAGTCAGTCTTGAACCTTAAGCCCCGTTGGCTCTCCAATTCATCCACGGGTATCGTGGCGGTCGACAGGTCGCTGTTCTCTCGCGAATGAATCGTCAGTCGTTCCTGTTCCAGCCCCTGCCGCGAAAGCGAGCAGTCCTCATAACCGAGCACGAGGTGGTCCCCGTGCTCGGGACTCGGCTCGTCCTGCTCGTGACCTCTCGACTCTCTCACGTCCGAAGAGCGCGATGGTGCGCTGGACTGCTGGACAGCGGCCTGACTCGGAGCCGGGGCCGGCTGGAATGTGGCGAAGCTCCTGACGGGCTCGTTGAGGACGACCTGGCGGTCCCACCTGGCATAGATCCCGCAGTCCTTCCTCTTCCCTTCGAGCGGCGTTTCCTTCGACCTGCCGTTTGCAAGACTCTGTTGCACCTTCAGGCATTGCTTGAGACCGATCTCGGGATATCTGCAGACCGAGCTCTCGCTCTTGCGATCATCCTCCTCGATGGTCTCGAGCAAATGCTCAGGATGCCGTGACTCGCCGACTCTCTCGAACAACTCGCTCTCGAGCGCCGAGAACGTTTCCTTCACGGGCGACTGCCGGTCCTCCCGCGCCGCCGCGGCTCTCTCGCCGTAAGCCGACATCTGCAGCGACGGCCGTAGCACCGACTCGAGGTCGTCCGTGTGTATGACCTGCGGCTGTAGAGCGCGCTCGTAGATCCTCTCCACGTGCTCCGCCGGGCACAAGTAACCGCGTGTTTTGCCGGGCGCGGGCTCGCAGGTCGCGACCTTGGACCTCGCGGCGTTCCGCTCGTTCAACTGTTGCAGACTCGCGGACGTGTAGACTCGATTGTTCGGCTTGAAGCTCGACGAGGGCGCCGCCGCGCTCGGCGCCTTGGCTCGATCCGGCGAGCCGCCGAGGTCCTTGCGTGGCAAGACCGGCGGCTTCTTGCTCTCCATCGTCGCCGGCAGCGACGGCGGCGGCGGCTGGCCGCCGCCGCCGCCGCCGACGACGCCGACGACGACGACCTGCTGACACCTGGCCCGCGACTCCGCCTGCGCCTGAAGAGCTCGCACTCGAGCGCCCACCGCGCCGTAGATCGCGTTCTCGATTTTCGCCTCCCTGCGCCCGTCGGCCGTCTGAAGCCGCGGCCGTCGCGGAGGACACTCGCTCGCCGGCTCCGTCGGCGAGGCGATCCTCGAGCCGTCTCGAGGATGCTCGGCGTACCTCGGCGCTTCCGTGGATTTACAACAGGCGGCCGCCTCGACCGCTTTATCGGCGGACCGTTGCGGCGGCTGCGGCGGTCCGCTCGCCGCGACCGGCCGCCTACTTTCTCCGTCCTTATTTGGTGAGATCGACTCGCCTTGGTCACCATGGCCCTTCGAGGGGCCCGCGCCGCATGCCCCGCGCGGACGCGACTCTGTCTCCTCCTTAACGAGCAAACGCGCCGCCAGCGCGTTCTGCTCGCCGTTCCCGGGCCGTTTGAACGATGGCCTCCTGCAGGGAATAACAGACGCGGTCGTCGTCGTCGTCGTCGTCGTCGTCGTCGTTGTTGTCATTGTCGGAACGGCAGGCGCCTCGGACACCCTGGAGCTATTAACGGCCGTGAGTCGACCGTAATCCGTCTCGTTCCTCGTCTTCGTCGAATTCGTCACCCTGCCGCCGGCCGCCGGTCGGCTGTTCCGCTCGTCGAGCCTCTCGTCGGCGGCCGCGTCGACGCGTCTGGAGCGGAAACTTGAGCCGAGGACACCCCTCTGCGGGATCCTCGAGGCTGGGCTGGAATCCCCCGAGCGCGAGGACGACGCGTTCGACGCGGCAAAGCCGTAATCGTGTCTGGCCTTGTTCTTCACGGCCAAGTACTCCTTGTAAACGGCCCTGCTCGTGTTCACGCCGACGTTCACCTTGTCCAGCCTGCCTTTGTCCGCAGCCTTGCGATCCATGCGGCTCAGGTCGTCGTAGCTCGACGAGGCGCCGTTCAGTCGCTCTCTCGCCTCGTCGATCGACCTCGACCTCGAGTCTTGTCGGTATCTGCGTTGGCTCTTTTGCTCGGCACTGCTGTTGGATCTCGTTAAGGGTTTCTCGCGGGCGACCGGGAAGTTCTGGCTGTGCGCTTGGTTCAACCACTCGTCCACTCGTTTCTGAACCTCGCCCTTGCGTAGTAGAATCTCGGGCATCTTCGTGCGACCGCTCTCAACGACGTCCGTCGTCGTCGCGACGGGTGCGTGACGCGTTTCTGTCTCGGGCGCGACGCGCTGGTACCCTTTGCCACCAGGCTCCTTCTGTCGGTCCCGTGAACGTTGTCTCACCTGGGTCTGTTGGTTCACCTTCAGCACCGGTTGAACCCGCTCTCTCGTCGGGATGGACTTGGTCGGAACTGGTTTGGCACTGGGCAGCTTCGGTTTCCCCTGCTGCTGTTGTTGCTGTCGCTTCTGTTGGTCCATCATGACCGCCTCGAAGTTCGTCACGTTGATGCTGCCGACGTCGCTGAGATCCGACGAGCGACGGTAGTCCAAATCCTCGTACTCGTCCAAGATATTGTTCACCGACTGTGTGTCGATCGAGCTGGTGCTCTTCGACTTGTTCCTCGCGACGCTCTCGTCGCTGCTCGAGTAGTTGTTGCTTTGTTGTTGTCGTTGCTGTTGCTGCTGCTGCTGCTGACGCTCACGACTGATCTGTCGTTTGGGTGGCCGCAGCTTCGGCTTCTGATACTTCAGCACCGCGTTCTCGTAACGCTGCAGTGCGCTCTCGACCTCGATTGCTGTCCCCTCGTGCAGCCGGTCTCTCTTCGGCAGGACAGACGATTGTCGCGCGTGACGCTGCTTAGGCGACTCCCGATGTCGGGTCGACATCACGCCGCCGCCGCCGCCGCCGCCGCCGCCGCCCGCCGCCGCCGCCGCCGCCGCCGCTGCCACCACCGCCGTCGTCGGTCAACGAAAATTTCCGCCTCGCGATGCCTCCCGTTGGGCCGGAAGTTCGGAAGGTCGTGAAACTCTGCACGTTTCGCGAACACGCGTCCTCCTCGGCGTTCGTCAACCCCTTCGACGTGAGCCATGAAGCGACCGGCCGACAAGCGACGTCCTCTGCGCCGGGCGCATCCTCGTCGGCGTAGGGAATGCCGCTTTGGCTCCTCAGAACGCTTTCATCGCTCATTTTCCGTCGTGTCGCGCGGCGCCCTCGATCGCATCCTACCGTGGGGCGTGGGAGAAGTGACCGTTAGATTCTGAAACGGAAAATATTTCGGCATTGAATTAGTCAGTGATCGAGAGTCTTGGAGCAGCGAAAGACCGTCTTTAAAACTCGCGTGATATAGAGTAGCCGTTTCTTAGAAAAATAAAGAGAAGAGCATTTGGTGTTTACGATTCCATAATTGCGATAGTCACCATAAACGTGGGAAGAATTAAGGGAGATTAAAAATGACTCGTATTTTTGTACTTTAAGAGAATTAAATCATTCCTGGGCGTTCCTGGGAGCTGGAGTTTCAACTCCTACGAGTTCCTTTGAACTTGAAGAACATTACATTGTCTTATCTCGATGCAATAAATGGTTGCGCCACTTTCTGTTGAATTATACTTTGGATGGGTTTCAGAATTATTTGATATTCGATTGTCTCGATACATATAATAGATATATGAAGGTAAGTAGAATGAAATTTTGTCTCTTCTCTAATCTCTCTTTATTGTTCATTTCTTTCTATTGACGTTGGAAATGGATATGTATAAAAGGTATATCTATTATTTATTGGCACACTCTCATACATCTAGGAATATGATGTATCGCTGCTCGTGTTGCCAGCCATCGAACATTCTGCTCCTGGCTGCATCGTCATAGCAGACTCGATACCACCTCATGTTACTGACACTGATAACCGGATAACGATCCATGAATACGAATCTATTATATTCTCAATAAAAAGTCCTAAGTAATTTCTATCTTTCTGTTAGAGATGTGCGAACTATTCGAATTCGAATCGAATCGAATCTAATGAATTTGATTCGAATCCGAATCCCTATTATTCGAATCCGAATAATTCGAATAGGAATCAAATACATTATCGTTTGCATGCATCAGCTACAAAACGAGCCATCTGAGCCTGTATGTTTGAACCCTTAACTTGTAATTAACTTAACTTATAATTAATAACTTAATTATAAATTATTTCAATTATTTAAATATATATTTTACTTTAGGATGTTATTACAATATCAATATTCTCTTTCATATTAAAATTTTCCATCGTTATTGGCATGTTTAATAATCATGTTAAATTTTTTAATGATTCGATTCGATTTCATTCGATTCGATTCGACATGAAAATTCTTGATTCTCTATACATCTCTACTTTCTATTAATATCAACATAAATCTGGTAAATATTGATTTTTACGTCTAATAATGCTTCTAATAATGCTAAAATAATAATTATGTCTAGTAATGTTTCTTTAACCAAAAGTGCGATTTTATTTGTACGTGCCAATGTTCTTTTTCACTCCCACTTAGCCTTCTTATTATACAAAATCCAAATTTAAATTTCTACTTCCGAATAGATACACATAGCATACAACTGTTATTTTAGTTCTTGCACTTTCTTCCTCATTAGTTTTTTCAAGAGCTTCAAATCTCACGAAGATTTCCACGTCAAAGAAAATATTATTTTACAAAAATAAAAGTATATTGCTTCTCTTACCTATTCGCATATCTTAATTTTCGTTAAATTAAGTAGAGTAAATATAGAACATTGAGATAATTAAATATGAAATAAATCTGAAATGAAATTTTTTTTAAACTCGATACGGAGGAAGTGTCGGAGTAAGTAACTGCATTATCAAAATGAGACAATAATGTAATGTTGCATCTTGAGAAATTTTCCTTGGTCTTTTAAGTTTGACAAAATTTGCAGAGTTAATAGAGAGTCAAAATTTCGTCTCGGATTACTCCGATAAACCGAGACGAAAAACGAAATGTCGATTTATCTATTCGAAAAATCGGTGAGAAACGAAAACTACGCTGTTATTAACAGACATACAATTATTCCGAAATGAAAATAAAAAATACGATGTAACATGATTCGCAAGCTAATTTATCAGCCTTGATAATGAGATTAATATTGCATAAAATTCTACAAACGGCTCCTCTCGCGGTCGAGAGAAAGGAAGAGAGCGGGACTACCGAAAATTACCACACTAGGTGCGATCCGTGCAATAACTGTTTCCGCAAATCTAGCGTAATAAACTCTGAAATTTGCGGGTGCGCCGCGTAAGGTGGCCAGTGAAGAACATTTTCCATGTTAATTTTTTAGTTAGTGTGAGATTTCGCTAGCGCAAGCTCGGTCGAACGGCGCATTAATGCGTCGCTTGGGTCTGCTAAGGTAATTTGATGCGCAGTTTCGATCGCTCAGCATATTAACCAAGTTAAAATGCGACGAAATTAAGAAACTGCGCGATAATAAGCCCTTAAGACGCGGGACGATAAGAGAAGATTTAAACGAATCGATAAAGAAAAATTTGAGAAACGCTCGCACGCCGTCGAGGAGAAGTTACACAAGTTCAGTCTGCGAGACTCGGGAATCTTATGGGACACGTTGCAAAATTTAGGATTAAAACAGGCTCGGTCAAATTCGCCATTCCGAAATCGTCCACGTTCCGGAAATCGCGTTGATCGGCGATAAATGGCAGAAGGCGCGCTTCGGCAACGAGCGCGCCGCGATCCACCGCTATCGCCGTCTGTCCGTCGCCGCGCCGCCGCCAGCACGTTCCATCGTCCGTGGAATTTCCGGTAGTTGACCGATATCCGGCACGAATTAATTCGGTTCCTGTGCTCGGGGGACATTAAATATTGTAATACTCGCCACAGACTCGTGCGCGGAATCGCTAAGAAAGCCGAATGCCTAAAGAAATTTAATATTCTCGTGTTGACGCGCGATATAGAATATATATATATAGCATCAGCGCTTTCTCTCTCTCTGTCTCTCTCTCTCTCTCTCTCTCTCTCTCTCTCTCTCTGTCTCTCTGTCTCTCTGTCTCTCTGTCTCTCTGTCTCTCTGTCTCTCTGTCTCTCTGTCTCTCTGTCTCTCTGTCTCTCTGTCTCTCTGTCTCTCTGTCTCTCTGTCTCTCTGTCTCTCTGTCTCTCTGTCTCTCTGTCTCTCTGTCTCTCTGTCTCTCTGTCTCTCTCTCTGTCTCTCTCTCTCTCTCTCTCTCTCTCTCTCTCTCTCTCTCTCTCTCTCTCTCTCTCTCTCTCTCTCTCTCTCTACATACTCTTACATACATATATAAATACATATAAATATATATATATATATATACACTCGCATATACATTAGGAAATTTCGCGAGACTCTCACTTATTATGCTAATTTTACAAAATGCATTTTTAAGATCCGCTTAACGGAAAAACTTGCTTAACGCAAATTGTAAAATTTGATTTATTAAGATATTTCCACGACTCATCAGCGGTATAATAATTGTATAATAATTCATAACAGTGTATGATAAATTAACTTGAGTCTACGTATTTTCGAGAAAGTATAATTTGCGCTCCGGTATTGGATAGAATTTTATACGTGGAAAACATTTGATATATTACGCTTCGTCCCGAATTCTAAATTGTTCAAGGTAGACTTAATTTTGTATCACGAATTAATAAATTAGGAATTGTCATATATCTCGGGAATATTTTCGAATAAGGAAAATAGCAGTTTCCCCGCGTTACAGAGAACGTATACTCCTTAAAATTCGCCATATTTTAGGCCAAATGGAATTCGGTAGATACGTATTCGCATAAATATGAAATAAGATGCGTCAGCAAGTTTAGTTAATATTTCAAAAGTACGCTAAAATATTAATAGAAAATATATGACGTCAACGCCAACACAAAACAGCTTTTCACGAAAAAAGAAAAAAGAAAAAAAGAACTACAAAGGTCTAGGTTTCATATTTCGGGTTTTATTACGTACCGAACATAAATCTTTCCTATACAAACGACCGCAACTTTTTTCAGTAGCTAATATTAAACATTCTTCGTATATAAACGCATTTTTATACGTTGACTACCAAAGATGCGCCTCTCCTTCCTTCCCCCCCCCCCTCTCTTTCTCTCTTCCGGATGAGATCGCGATAACACGCTCCGATAATGTAAATTAGTACAATTAACAAGACTCGATTCGAAAACCCAGCTCGCGGGTTATTAAATGCGTAGCGACGCCTCGTCGGCTGGCCGGCCTGCCGATACAAATTAAACAAAGCACGATTAATGGAGCGACCTTAAACGAAAATGCGAAAAAGCGTGTTGCTTATCGGAACCGGCGATCGGATCAACGTAAATTACGTATTTCCTGGCGAACGATCGGTTTTTAGCGAGCGATGTATCATCTGACGAAAATAAAGGGCAGGCGCCGGCGATAAATATTCGCAAAACAATACGCAATCGCGTGGGACGCTGATACTGGAGGTAGAATATAACTGAGTAACGCGAATAGTATCCGCGAATGTCTGTAAAAAAAAAATTCGCCTGGTGGCGGCGGTGGATTCAACATCATTTCTCGTCGCGCTATATCGCATCGTTGTGCCGCTGTAATCGGACAACGCGTTGAAATCGGCGATGAATCAATAATTACGTAACTTTCCCCGACGAGATTCTTAAGTGTACACGACGCACAAGATACGACTAAAAATAATGTTTCAGTCGATCTTTATTTGCGTCATTTGATGTGTGGAGCGCGGTGGAGCTATTCGGTTACAGTTTGTTGATCTCGTTGAGCTCGAAGAGCAAACGATGAAATTTCATCATTTATCGGATTGTTTATGTTTTCCTGCTGAGAGGAATCGTTATTCGACGAATCAAACTCGCCGAAACACCGATGTTTGCCCTTGTCTGGGAGAGACATCCTTTTATTAAAATTATAACTAAATTCGCGAAATGAATGAAAGACCGAGTCTCACAGGGTTAAAGGAGAGTCGCTCGCCGGTTCGCTCGCATCGTCATCTCTCCCCCGTGGGGAGGGTAGTTTGAACTCGCGCGAGGCAATAAGACCGCGCAAGCGGCGTAAATTGAATTAAACCGTCGCGGCTTCGAGGGCCGGTACTACGAGCTCTCTTCTGGCGCTCTAATGATTCCCACGCGAGCGCGCTTTCAAGCCCCCCGGCTGGAATTCTACTTTTAGATCGTAGATAACGCGTAACTCCCACAACGCGCGTCTCGGCCTCCTAAACGAAACACGCATGAATCA